GCACCAGGGATATTGCAGTGAATGTAGTGGTCTTTACCCTTAGGGATCCTGGGGCACAGGTAAAGGAAGCAATAACTAACTAAGTTCTATTATGGATAGAGTCTGTGTGAACATAGAGTAGCAAATGATTGAGTTGGCTTCTTTCAGGGTTAATGATAGAGACTAAGGCTCATGGGGGCTATACATGCCATGAGGTCCTGCATTACTCAGATGGACAGGGTTCTAACTCCCAGTCCTGGTACCTCCGAGGACTATTAAGGTACTGGTTAAAACAAAAGATGGATTTTTTTTTGATGCCACTCATGTTCAATGACATTTCATTAATCATTAGGGTTAGTTGAAACTAACCCTTTTATTTAAAAGTCATTAGATCACTGGGAAGTGGGAGAGATGCTGAAATGAGAGACTCATGAGAATAGAGGAAGGGAGCAGCAGATTCCCGTGTCCCACCCCATCCCTTCTGCCTGTGCTCATCGAGTCCAGGTGGTATCAGAAGCCCCACATTTACTGTTCTCCCCCTTTATCTCCACCCGCTCAGAATAGAATGTGTGGGCCCGAAGCACATATGATGTCATTCTCCTGGACTCTTGTGACTGTTCCCGAATTGTCAGTGAGAATTGTGAAAGGATTATCCATTTACAGAGTGTGTCTGCTTGGGCAGAGAGCAGGATACTTGGATCACTGGTAACAGCTGTTTTTGGAGTTTATTGGAGTGTGGCCAGGAAGAAATTCAGGAAAGAAGTAGTTCTCAGAAAATGTTTATGATAGAAACTGAGGCACATGGGGGTGCATATTACACATGTATTTCGAGGTCTCTTCTTAACTCCTGCCTGCTTTCTTTTCTTGGAGGTATTCTGTGGAAAGTCTGCTTCACTGAACCACCCTGCCCTTGATGTGAAGACCTATGAAAAAGTTTGGTTGTAGATGTTTGATAGAAATAAAGGCATTTGTCACCAGTTTAAATTTTCCATGCAGTCATCTTAAAGACCTTAAGAGGATCCTTTTGTAAATTGGTTTCCCAAAGTGAACCATTAGGGGAAGCTCCAGCCTTTCTTCACCATCTTATTTTTAGCCAGTAGTTTGGCATCGTGAGGCACAGATCCCCATCTAGGGAAGATGAACTTGAAGCAAGTGCCTGTTCGTTGCTTTATAGATGGCAGAGTGCCTTCACCAGCTCACTGAATCTTTATGGCAGCTCTGTGGGGTTAGGGTCTCTCCACGCCTTCATGAGTTTTCTGTATTTTAAAATTTAATTTTGTATTCATTTTACAAGTGAAAACTTGAGCGTCTGGGAGATTAACTAATGTAGTTTGGGTTGCATAGCTCCCGGGTGAGCTAGGTTTGGAACTCAGCTCAGTTTACATTTTAATACCACCCATCCCCAAGATTCCCCCAGCCAGCCCCTCAATACTTTATTGTTCTCCATTGACTGAACTGAAGGAAAGCAGACACCCTACTCAGAGGATACATGGGAACTGGAGACATCAGCCCAGCCATCCAGATATTGTGTATGTAAGCCACTTGATTAGCTATTTATCTTGGTATTAAGGGGGTGCTTATTGCTATACATTCAAAAATCCAGTTGGATTGAGTGCTAATTAACCGGTGTCTGTTTTTTAGGATACTTGTAAAGTGTGTCTGGTACTCTCAGAGCCACTAGATCCAAGGACAGTTTCCAAAGTGAGTTGGCACCAAGGGACAGAATGCCAGAATGGTTATTTCAGTATCTAGTATGGGGAGCGTTTCTCTGCCAGAGCCAGTCTTGTGATCGGAAACTCTTTGCCCATACAGGGCCTCATCTTACAATTGGGTTGTAAAACCATGGGCCTGAGTAATTCTGGATTATGTATCTGGTGGTTTCTGGGCTATGTCCAGAGTAGGTAATTCCATCCTGTTGAGCTACAGTTGACCAAATCGCAAGTGCCTGGACAGAGTTCTTCCCTTTGCAGTAAGTGAATCAAAACATGGGAGTGTTTCGAACAGTGTCTGTACTTCCTGAATATAGATGGAACAATCAGTGCTTGTGATCTTGCATTCCCCAAAGAACCAAAGGCAGTGACCCCTAGCCTTGGAAGCAACTTGAGGGGTATCTGCAAGACTGGCTGCCCGGGTCTGCCACAGTCCACCCTCGATGAACAGTTGATCTGACAGAATGGTTTTCCGCATGTTGAGTCAGAGTTGTCTTAGGAGCACCACAGATGGGCTTGCCCTTCCCTAGACAGCTTTTTGGGGGGCGTTCAGTGTCGGCGGACACTGGGCTTAGCAGTTAGGGTTAAGAAGGATCTTACCAGCTGTGGGCCCTGGTTAGGACAAAAAAACAATGAAATTTAACAGGAATAAATGTAAACTCCTGATTTTAGCTCTGAAACCAATTGTGTAAGAATCAGGATTCAGGAAAAGAGCCCCAGAGAAGTAGGAATTTGGAGGCCTTGGGGATCTCAAGTCCAGTTTGAGTGCCATTGATTGAGATGTGTGGACAAACTGAAATGCATTCCTGAGAGGGGCAGAGGCACCGTGGTGTCCACTTGGAAAGAACCAGAGCCTGGGGGTTGGTTGTCCCTGGCGTCCCTAAGTGAGTATTTTGGGGAGAGATTTGCTTTTCTAAGGGCTGGATTCACCTTCAAGGGTTAGGTGAGTTAGTCAAGGAGTGACTTCTGGCTTGATGGGTGGGAGAATTTCAGCATGCCATCGTGGAAGTGGCAGTCTTGAGGTAGTGGGTTCTGTCATTGGTGGTGTTCTAGCAATCAAGGGGACTGGCTGTTGAGAAGTTTAGAGGGGGACTTGAAGCATTGGATGGCGGTGGTGGGTACGCTCTGGTCTGTATATTCTGTGGCTTTCAGTTGTACAGTGTGTTCTCTCTAGGCAAACAAAGGTCCAGACCCCCCCACCGCCCCTCACTACTCTGGATTCCATCCCTCTGCTATAGTAGCAGAACACTGGGCACATCTACTTTTTGTTTGTTTGGTTTTGGTTTGGTTTTTTTGCAGACAGGGTCTCACTATATAGTCCAGGCTGGCCTTGAACTCACTGTGTGGCCCAAGTTGGCCTTGAATTTTCAATGATCCTCCTGCCTCAGCCTCCTGAGTGCTGGGATTACAGGCTTGGTTTACTATGCCTGGTTTACTATTTATCTTAAAATGAGGTTCCCTGGAGTGAATTGATTCTGCTGTGAACACCCAGAGCTCAACGCCTGGCCTGGGGTTTTATATGTGTGTGTTGTTTTGCTTTTACTTTTCATTTTGTTTGGGAAGAAGGTGGGCTAACCTCTGCCAAAGAGTTCCTCTTATTCTCGTAATTTCTCCAGTCAGCTGTTTTGGTGCTCAAAGAGCCTCTAGGGTAGTGTGTAGTTCAGTTTGAACTTTAGAGGACTGTTAGATCCCAACACAAAATGTAATAGTTTGAGAGTTCAAAAGGCCCACACTGCAGGCATTGCAGAGTTCATCTGGGGGGCATTCACAAAACACTTTCTTGCGGCATAATTCAGACCTTAGCATTTGGCAGTTTTTAAAGTCCTGTGTAAATGTACTTGTGTTGGTAAAGAGCAGTACATATTTTGCTGACAGGTTCTTTGAAGGATACTTCAGTGGCAGCATTTAAAGGCAGACAACCTGAAACTTACTTTTTTCTTTTAAAACCAGGTACTACCAAATCCAAAAAGCTGTCAGAAAGAGAAGTCAAAAACACCCATTAGTTAGATCATTAATTGTGTAATATTCCTCTGAATTTCTCCACCTGGGCTCTGTTGAGATCAACAGTGGGGAGGACAGGAGAATGAGATTCAGTTGGGCGAGGGAAGGAAAGGAGACAGGCTGCTTGCTTTAGTCCCCGGCACCTGCTTTCTTCCTGGGTGCCTCTTTGTAATGTTGCACAGACTTAAGGAGAAACGGTGTTCACATACAGCCCTGCCATTCAAGCCCTGGGGCTCCCCTTTTCTACCCATCCTCAGGAACAGTTCTTCCCCCTCTTTTTGGGAGGACTTTGATGACCTAATGGCTTTTCAACAAAGGAATATTGATATGTTAGTGTTCCAGACAGCAGGGAGTGCGGGATTAGATCATTTTCACACTGGTGTGATGCCAGTGTGACATTTGTTTAGGAAGCTTATCTGTTTCCAACCACAGTTTACATGCATAATTTAAGGGGAATACATTTTTTGAGAAAGATTTTTTTGATTCTGTAATCCACAGTAAAGGATGTCCCCCATGTTTCCATGTGATCAGGAATTCACAGTAGGCCATGCATTGAAGTGAAGTGCATCATGTAGATGGAGAACATTACCACAAGTCCACCAGGCCCTTTTGGTGGGTGTTGTAGGAAAGATGGGACTGGGGACAACTTGGCCCTTGTCTCAGGGTTACAGTTTTGGAGAAGAGTGCCAGAATGACCTGATGTATGCGCGAAGAGTCCTGAGGCTCAGCATAAATGTCCAGGTCAGATGGCATTACCGACTCAGTAGGATGAATAACTGTGATAACAAATAGTCCTCCTCCTTCTTCCTGGCTTCTGCCGCCATTTTGCATGTTGTTGATCTCATATTGAGACACTTTGCCATTTCAGTTACGATGCCAGTTGCTATGATAAGGCTGACATCTTTTATTTTTCTTGAGTGTCTTATAAACAACTTGTTCTACTGTGGAGATTTGACTGTCATTGAGCAAATTGCCCTGGTAGATAGTAAGCACTTAATAAATGGTTTTCCTGTGAGTCCCTCCAAACTTGCAACTCCAGGGAATGAGTGCTCTTCTTGAGTAAAAATTTCCTCTCATCTGTGAAGATTATCCAGCCTCTGCCTGCCATTGCATTTCTGTATGAGTGCTTACCATGATGCATAGAGGAGAAAGCCACCTGGACCTCAAAATTCCATATTCTCCCCTAGGAGTTATTCTCCGAGCATGGCAGTGACTGAAGAACATGCAGTAGAATTAGCAAAAAGTGTATGTTTGTGGTTACCATGTCCCATACTATTTAGTGATTATACTGTTTTGTGATTTCTCTTTTAGGCTTATTTTCTTGAAAAGGCTCCAGGCTTCGGCTTGGAAAATCCAACCGCCAAAATTGAGCCCAGCAGCTGGAGCGGCAGCGAGAGCCCTGCCGAAAACATGGAAAGGATGAGTGACTCTACAGATAAGCCGATTGACAATGACGCGGAAGGGGTCTGGAGCCCCGACATTGAGCAGAGCTTTCAGGAGGCCCTGGCTATCTATCCGCCATGTGGGCGGAGGAAAATCATCTTATCAGACGAAGGCAAAATGTATGGTAAGTGGCCTGGAACACTGCTTTGAAATACCACAACCCACTGTGTGGCAGAGGATAGATTAAGCTGGCCTTCTAGTGAGATCTTTTCATTGTAGTGGATTGAATGATCCTTGTAGAATTATAGTTGCTCATCTGAAAAACCAAGGCTTGGCTAAAGAGGAGTATCAATGAAGGACCACTGGGGAGTTATTCCCAGGGCGTTTCTTCCTCTGCATATGCAGTGTTGTTATATCAGAAGCTCTGGAGGTCCAGGTAGGAGCATAGGTAGTCGAAGTGGAGTATGCAGAAACCACATGGTGAGGACGAGTTCTTTAGTACAGAGGCGTAGTCTAAAGGGGGCACGATAACTGAGCCAGGGGGAATGAGGCCACACTGCTGCAAAATATCTGATTTTTTTTCCCCCTAGAAAGAGCACATAATCTAACCTAGATGTGTGTATGAAATCTACTCTTTTTAATAAGCCAGCACTTATTCTTTAAACAACTCTGTGCAGGCTGGATAAAACATGCTCATGGTCTTGATCAGACCCCTGAACCCCCCTTTTGTAGCTTTGCTGCCAGTATGCGGTTGAATGGCCAGAGAGGCATTACCCACTCAGGCTCCCCTTAGCAATCTTCCCTTCTACAGGGGGATGCCTCACAACATGTTCTGAAGGAAACTCCAAGTGTGTGCAGAGGGCAAGACCAGTGAACCAGATGGGTTAGGGTGCCAGAGGCAGCAGCGAGGAACCATCCACTAATCAGAGGCTTGATTGCTGGGTTTGGGCACCCTCCCCCCACTTTCAGTAAATGCTCCCAGCTGCAGACCTGCACTTTTTGGCTGCTTACCTTTTGGGAAGCAGATGGCAGGTGGTTACTCTTGTACATTCTGCTTGTCTAAATGGGCACGTTGAGTTGACAGAGTTTGCACTATAGCTGGGTCTAAAGAGATGCAAACAAATAACCTCGACTCAAAGAGAACTGTCTCCACAACCTACCTGAGGTTGTTAACTTATCACAAGAGTGATTTATTCCTAAATAATTTGAACTCTTTTCCATAATAGGGTGTTGTGCCTTTAATCCCGTGCTTCCTCTATCAGGAGCCATAGGAGGCTACAGCTCAAACTAGCACACACTGTGGAGGGGAAAGCAGATGGTAGTGCAGCTGCCACCAGCTGTGCCCCCTGCCCCACCCTCCCCTCAGCTTGGATGATGTAATGGAAACAAGGACAATTTTGCTTTCTGTAGCACTGGAGTCTCTCAGCCAGCCGCACACAGAGGAGATGGAGGACCCAAACCTTCGGCATTTGTTTTAGGCTCGCATAACATGTTTTGTAGTCCAAGAAGCTCCTTCACGTAGTGAAATGGTGTCAAGGGGGACCACCTCAGCTGCTGTAGGGAGAAAGTTTCAGGGCCTGGGGTGTCTGTGTTTCCCTCCTGGGCTCTGCTTCCTTAGCCTTGCTCTTTGCTCACGGAGGCTCAGCCTCGTACCAAAGACGCAGGTCCCTTCTCTCTTTAAGGCAGAGAGAAGTGCTTTGACCTTTGAGCCTCCTATGAAAGTGACTATGTCATGTGTAGTGAATGGTGGCTTTAGGATACTACCTTGTACAACTGCCACTTGTTTACCCAGTAATTGTTCTGGTGTGAAATAATAGAGCCTCGCTGGGAGGAACATTCCATTTCACTTTGCCTCAGGAGAGGTGCTTCCCCCTCTGATGTGAGTTTTGGGTCTGAGAATACAATTCAGAGCAAAAGCTAATTTTCATCGACTCCAGTTTTATTTTGTTCTCCTTTGAGATTTTACTTTTTCAGTAGCAGCCATGGTAGAATTAACCAGTTGTCTCTAACTCAGTTATAAAAATATTTTTATGTGAAGATAATTGTGGAAGAGGTCTTGTTGGTAATTGTGTCTCAGAGGCAGCAGGCTAGGAAGATGAATGGTAGGAAGCTTTGGATTTGAATTATCTGTCAATGAATTAGAACAATTTTACCCTGGGTCTTGGTCTCTTTCTTTCCCCTTCGTTAGAAAAAAAAGATGGTAAAGTAGGTAATGCCCACATATCCTTTGTACTTTTCCATTTTATGATGCTGTGAATTTGGGACTTGTAACGCAGCAAGGTGATCAGTTATTGGCAAATACGGTGCTGGTGGTGGGAACATGTCTGTAGCACCCAGGGTAATTCAGATTTTGAGTGCTTTCTGAATGCATACGTTCTTGAGGTATGGATTCTCTTTTAAGTCAACATTACATTTACTGACTCTGTTGGTGGCCAATCTGTTTTAAAATGAGGCTGTCTTTTTGAGCCAGCAGCATTAGGAATTACACCTTGTTTGGGAAGACCAGCCTTACTGGGTATGGGTTTTCCTGCAGGCATTGTACACAGCCAGCAAGATTTAGTTTCCCGATTGGATGCATGAGATGGCTTTGCTGTACTGGCTGTGCAGCTGCCCCAGCCTCTCCAGGGAGAAAACATCCCCACTCAACTCCCTGTCTTTGATCAGCTTCTGTTACTTGGAAAGGAAACATGGTGGTTTGTTGGGTTATGGAAGGCAGAAACGGGACTCATTCAGAGGAACCACCTTAAGTGTCTGAGAGCTGCCTCGGACCTTCCTGGGACTCTGAAAATCAGAGGAAGTTGATTGGGAACTTGCACAGTGAGGCCCCAGCTGCTTGAGTACAGTTGCAAGAGTAGTGAGGGGCCAGAGCTACTGTTCCTTGGCTTCTGGCCTGTCCTCCATCATATGTACACGAATCAGGACACAAACCAGACCAGACAGCAGTTCTTAAGGTTTTAGGAGCATACTTGTCCTCTAAGGGATTTGAAAATGAAAATATTGAAAGCATTTGGAATTTCATGCAGTAAATTCAAAATAATTTAATGTCTTTTAGTGAAATACCAAGTGTTTTTTTTTCCATGAGGGGGTTAGTCTGATATTTCTGAGCATTTGTAGAATTCTTTGTGATGTCACTATTCCTGAGCCATCAGAGAAGCAAGGTCGAGTGATTTATTTTGGTAATGAAATTTCCTTCGTGGTTGGCAGTGGAGCAAATGCAATCTCGAAGGGAAGGAATCGAAAGCTCTCTTTATGATGAGGTTTTGTCCATTGGAAGAGATGGCTTAATTCTTTCTGTTACCTTGGTCTTCAGGGGCGCTGGGACTTTATGTAGTTGGTCTCTATGTGGATAGATTGCTTTGGCCTTGGGCTCCCAAATGTGTAGCAGTTGTTCTTACAGATTATTAGAAAAGGGAGGAAGGTGGGTAGTGAGACCTCCTTTGACTTTGTTCTTAAGGGCATACATGCTTACTCCTTTGGGCATTCTCTCTTTCTCGTCTGTCTTCCCTTTTCATTTCTAATCTTATTTTTGCATTGTTGTGTGCTTTTCTTTTTTTTTTTTTTCCTGGAAGTGGGGGAGGAGGAGGTAGCAGAAGGACAAGATGAGAGGGAAATTCTTAGTCAACAGTCCTCTCCAAAATTGGATTTCAGGGGAGTAGGCCATAGTTTACAACAAGACAGAACAAAGCAGTGAGCCATGGGAATACCTGGATCTGTTTCTTTTGTAACTGAAACACCAGTCTTGCAAGGTGGTTGAATATCCCCCATAATCAAACTAAGGTTAGGACAGAAACTGACTTTTACTGGTTTTTTTCCATAGGACTTAATGGACTTTGTAATTATTATGAATCCTGGCCCTGCACTTCTAGATTTCAGGCTTTGGGCAAGTTGCCTCACTGCTGTTTTTCTCAGTTTCCTCAGGAGCAAAGGAGCTCGATTTCTCTCATCGGGTTGTTACAAGCATTAAATGAACTCATTGTGACTCATGATCCCTCCTACCATGTTTGAATGGCGTCTAGCATTCAGTGAGAGCTACAGAAGTGTTTATGAACTGAAAACAAAGCATTCTCTACTTTGTACTGTGCTAAAAGCTTTATATGTCATTTCCAACTAATGCTGCTAACAGTGCTCTGAGGTTGGTGTTATGACCACTGCTCACAGATGAGGAGGCTGAGAAGGATGATGTGCTTGAACTTGGCCAGTGTAAATGATATCATTAGACGATTTCAAATCCAAGTGTGCCTGATTCTGAGGCCTGGGATCTTTCCATTGTGCTTTTGCTCCTTCCTTGATAGAAGCCGATGTACATTCATTCAGCAAATCAGTATTGAGCACCAGCTGAATTCCATTCCTGTCCTTGGGGTTGTCAGGAGACAGCAGTGAACCAGACAGACATAGTCCCTGCCCTCATGGAGTCGTCACAAGTTTGTTTGCAGGAAACTGACCTGAGGTCAGGGCTGGGTGCCAAAGGTTTCTGGGAAGCCCGAGGGCTCTCTGAAGATGGTCACCTTTCACGTCGACTTTTGAAGTTTGTTCTTGGCCACTGAAGTCTGGGACACCTGGGCCAATGCTGGAAGGAAGAAGGCTTCTCAAGTAACATGGCAAGGAGAGTCCCAGATCACAAGGCTGGCCCCGGTAGTGGCCAGGAAGATGTCTGAAAAGTTCTAGTGCCCTGGATCCTACAAGCAGTCTGGGCAGAGCTGGGCAGTGTGACGTGCACTTGCACGGCATGCCTTTGAGGACCAGGAAGGTGACTGTGTCTGCGAAGTCCCCAGAGGCCCTGACATGGAAATGGCTGTGGAATCTGAGTCCTGCAGGTTCTCCAGGCCCTGGGAAAGTGACCCTTAGGACCTGAGCTGAAGGAGTTCTTCCTAGTTCTCCAGGTGAACATTAGGTGGCATCTTTAGTTTCTTCTTTCTCACTAACCTGTTGATTCACGTTGCTTGGTTAGAAATGTGAAACACAGGAGCTGTGCCCCTACAGTAACAGCTGCAAGCTCCCTAAAGCAGGAACCCTGTCTGTCTCCTACAGGCTCCATTTCAGGGCCTGGGACGCGGAAGTTGGTAGTGTTTGTTGAATTCTGCGCCCATAAGCTGAATTATTGGTTAAAACAGAGAAAAGTGGCCAGTGAGTTCTCTGAGCCCCGAGGGCCTCTGCTGTTAGTGGACTTGGCTAGAAAGGGGGAGA